AAAAAAAAAAGTCTCATGGACTTTCTTGCCTGGGCTGGCTTCAAACTGCAATCCTCGTATTTCAGCCTCCTGAGTTACAAGAAGGTTGTAGTAGTGAGCCACCAGCACCTAGCCAATCCTTCATTCTTAATGTGTCATCTTTCATGGCTCCTGTGGATATAGGTCCATCTCTGTTAGATGTATTATGTTGAAATTTCCTTTGACCAGAAGTTGGTGTAAAAATGACTGCAAGGAAGTTGGTGGATGTAAAATGTTCGGATGTATCCTTTGAAGCAGAGATGGGAGGTCCTGCATAGAAAGAGAGGAGCTTTATCTGGGGTCACATAGTCTAGGTATAGATGATGGGGCTAGAATCACTTGAAGTAAAAAGAAAGAGAAAAGTAGACAGAATTGGAAGAGACTTAAAAGAGAGACATGCTAGTGACTCATACCTGTAATCCTAGATACTCAGGAACCTGAGATCTAAGGATCCTGGTTCAAAGCTAACCCACGCAGGAAAGTCAGGGAGACTCCCATCTCTAATTACTAAAAAGAAGCCACAGGTGGCACTGTGGCTCAAGTGATAGAGCACTAGCCTTGAGCAAAAGGAACCCAGGGACATTGCCCAGATCCAGAGGTCCAGCTCTAGGACCAGCATAAAAAAGATAAAGATGGAGTGGGGGGAGGGGGGAGTGTAGTCGTGGAGATGGGAGGGCAGGGATGGTAGGGAAAAACAAAGGAGGAGGCAACAATGCTTGATAAGAAATGTACTCATTACCTTGCTCATGTAATTGCAACCCCTCTGTATAGTATTTTCACAACGCAAAACTTATTTTAAAAAAAGATAAAGAGGAGCTAGGAATGTGGCTTAGTGGTAGAATTCTTGCTTAGCATACATGAAGCCCTGGGTTCAATTCCTTAGTACCACATACAAAGAAAAAGCTGGAAATGGTGCTGTAGCTTAAGTGGTAGAGTGCTAGCCTTGAGCCAAAAAAAAAACTTAGAGACAGTGCCCAGGGCCTGAGTTCAAGCCCCAGGACTGGCAAAAAAAAAAGAAGAAAGAAAAAGATAAAGACACAAGACTTGGAGATAGCCTGGAATTCAAGGTGGTATAGGGCAAGAGGAGGCCAGCTTTGGTGGTGAGTAGGGCTGGTTATGAAAAGTAGGAGGAACAGAAGGTTGGGGAGCCTATGTAGGGGCCCATGTGACTCCCTCCCACCGGCAACTGCCTGAAGTGTTCTGCTTCCCTTGCAGACCCTATAGAGGAGTTCCTGTTAAGAAAGGCAAAAGAGGAGCCCGAAAACTTCGATAGGCTTTATGTGGTGGCAGCTTCCTTTGAAGTCAAAGACAATGCCACCATAGTTACTGCACTGTTCAATAACCAGGCATACCACTCCCCTGCCGTGGCTCTGGCTCTGGTGGACAATCTGCTCTTCAGGTTGCTTTCTGGCGCTAGTGCTTCCATTACCACATCCAACTACCCTCAACCGCAGACGGAGGAGGAGCTCTCCGAAAGCCTCCTGTACCAGTAAGCACCGCATCCTTCCTCCCTTATCTGAAAGGACTGTTTGTCTCATTTTAATTACGAGTGTTATTTTGGAAGAAGCTTGCTGTTACATTTTTACCTAAACTATTGTGTCTCTCCCCATGTCCTATCTTTTTCAGGGGCGCTAAAGGATATTATCTTATTGTCAACTTGCTTTTTGGGATAGCTTTTCTGTCTAGCTCTTTTTCCATCTTGACAGTCAGAGAGAGATGCATGAAGTCCAAACAGCTGCAGTTTGTGAGCGGTGTCTGCATAACTGCTTTCTGGTTCTCTGCTCTGCTGTGGGACCTCATCTCCTCCCTTATCCCCACTCTACTGTTAATGGTAAGCAGTGAGTGGTGCCAAGGGCATTTCCTGCAGACCAGGGATTCCTGAATGGTCCCTACACAGAACCGGAACAAGTCAACCCTGGATGAGGAATTGCCTGTATCAATGAGCCTTTTACTAAAGGTTGCTTGGCTCTAGCATGCTTGGGAACAGAGGGGCCTGCTCTGCGATTCTCATGTGGTACCCACAGAACGGTCCCCTCAAGCCAGTGAGAGACAGTGCCTGGGACACATGCTATTGCCCAAAAACAGCTCACCATAGAAGTGAAGGGTTGAAGTGTTTGATTGTGGTTGATATGAGTAATTCAGGGGTTTGATGATTTGGGGTTTTTTTGTTTTGTTTTGTTTTGTTTGTCAGTCTGGGCCTGGGTGCTGACCCTGAGCTCTTCAGCTCAAGGCTAGTACTCTACTACATGAGCCACAATGCCACTTCTGGTTTTCTAGTGGTTAATTGAAGAGTCTCATGGACTTTCCTGTCTGGGCTGGCTTTGAACCATGATCCTCACATCTCAGCCTCCTGAATAGCTAGGATTGCCGGTGTGAGCCACCAGCGCTCGGCTTTTGGTGTTTTTTTTTTTGTTTTTGTTTTTGATACAGAATAGCTCACTTCCTGCTTTGTTCTACCATTGTGTTTTATAAGCATCTCTGCACCCCTTATTGTAATGCATTAGGCTACTGGTCCCTAGGACAGCTCCTGAGAACAGAGGCCATGACTTGCTCATTGCTTCCTGGGAAGATGAGGGGAAGAAGGAAAGTGCCTGTGAATATTACTTCTAAAGCTGAGATTAGGGCTGGGAATGTGGCTTAGTGGTCAAGTGCTTGCCTACCAATCATGAAGCCCTGGGTTCAATTCCTCAGTACCACACACACAAAAAAAGCTGGAAGTGGCACTATGGCTCAAGTTAGAGTGCTAGCCTTGAGCAAAAGCAGCTCAGGGACAGTACCCAGGCTCTGAATTCAAGCCCAGGACTGGCAAAACTAACAAACAAAAATACCTAAAGCTGAGATAACCATACTCTTCAGTATTTAGGATAGATTTTGAATGCCTTTCCCTTTCCTAAGGTGGTGTTTTTATACTACAATGAAGAGGCTCTCACCCAGCATGGGAACGCCCCAGCTGTGGTCTTGATGCTGATGCTCTACGCCTGGGCCATCATCCCCTTCATCTACATGATCAGCTTCTCCTTTGACAATGCTGGTAATGCTTGCGTTAAACTTGTCATAATACTGACCTTTCTGAGCATTGGCCCCACAGTGCTAGTCTTAGCCACCAGTGAACAAGGTGAGGACAAGTCCATGTCTGCGTCACATAAAAAAAAAACAACTTTGGTTTTTTTTCCCTCTAACTGCTACAGAAGTTGTGCCCACAAAGGTGTGTGTTCCCCAAAAATGTTCATAGCAGCTATGAGCCAAACAGTCCCAAGAATACAGATCCAGGTGGATGGACAAACACTGGAATGCATGCATTCAGTGGATTGTTGCTTAGAGATGGGAAGGGAATAGTCAGCAGTGTGGCTAAACACCAGAGATCCAGTGTTGAGCCGAAGCAGCCGCCATGCCTGGTGTCTGTGAATAGGTAAAAGGAATCTTGGAGACAGGATCAGAAAAGTGATTGTTTTGAGGGTGAGGGGAAAAGAACAAAGGTGATACACCAGGGGACTTTCTGGAGTAAAGACATTTGTTTATCTTGACTGGAGTTCTTCTAAATTAATTGAACTATCTACATTTCACTGAAAAGCATAATTTCTCAATATAAAAGGTAATGGGAGAGCGCTAACCTTGAGCTGAAGAGCTGAGGGACAGCGCCCAGGCCCAGAGTTCAAGCCCCACGACCAGACCCCCCCCCCAAAAAAAAAAGTAATGCGCTGGGAAGGTGGCTTAGTGGTAGAGTGCCTAGCATGCATGAAGCCCTGGGTTTGATTCCTCAGCACCACATACACAGAAAAAGGAAGGAAGGGAGGGAGGGAGAAAGAGAGAGAGAGAGAATGAACGAACTCAGACTGAGCCATTATTCACACTATACATACCTAAAACTGGCATCTTCATGTTTATGCTGCTATCTCTCTCTGGGTCAGGATTAAATAAATGTGCTGATAAGTCACCTCTACAGTATTTTTTCATCTGCACTTTGTGCTAACACTTCCTTCAGATTGACTTTAGGTTCTTTTTTTTTCCACTTAAAAAGGAAGTAGCAATTTCAATCTGTATTTAGAGAGTTGCTCTGTCTCCTAAAAAACTATTCATGATAGTTTGATCTCCAAATTTTAATTATAAACTTAGGGATGGACCATATTCTTCTTCCTATCTGCAGATGGCACTCCAACAACTCCCTAGAGGAGGTTCCAGCTCTTCTCAGACAAGCCTGCCCCACCTGTATTGCCTCTACTGCCCATGAGTCCCCACGCAGCCATTTCCTGCCTGATATTCCCAGACATGCAGTACTCTCTCCCATACTGCACAGGCAATCATCATGGGAATAAGGGAGAAGAAAAACCAGGAGTCAGGGGAAAACTAGGCTTCAGTCCAGGAGAGAAGCTGCTGCCTTTTTCTTCTTGAACATAGAATTAATGTTTTCCATTCTCATTACAGGTCTGGGCTACACAGAAATCTCTCAGTCCTTGGATCATGTATTCCTAATATTTCCAGGGCACTGCCTAGGGATGGCCTTTTCCAATTTGTATTACAACTTCGAACTAAAAAAATTTTGCAGTGCCAAGAACCTAAGTGATACTGAGTGCAATGAAGTTTGTGAGTATAATGAATGGAATTTTTCTTTTTGTGGTCATGGGGCTTGAACTCAGGGCCTGAGCACTGTCCTTGAGCTTTTTCATTCAGAGCTAGCACTCTACCACTTTTAAGTTGCAGCACCACTTCTAGTTTTCTAGTCGTTAATTGGAGATAAGAGTCTCATGGACTTTCCTGCCTCAGGTGGCTTTAAACCATGGTCCTCAGATTTCAGTCTCCTGAATAGGTTTGATTATAGGTGTGAGCTACTAATGCCTGTCCTTCAGCCTATTCTTAAAGTTTTACTACAGAAATGGTCAGTGATCAGTTGAAAAATGATTGAAAAAGCCAAACATATTTTGTATTTCAAATAGCTGTCATATATCAGGAAAAAGTACTATTATTATTCAGTGCTGGTAATTGAACCCTTAGCCTCATGCATATCAGCATCCCTTTAATTTTTAAAAAAATTAGGACAGCCGGGTGCTGGTGGCTCACGCCTGTAATCCTAGCTACTCAGGAGGCTGAGATCTGAGGATTGCGGTTCAAAGCCAGCCCGGGCAGGAGAGACCGTGAGACTCCTATCTCCAATAAACCACCAGAAAACCAGAAGTGGCGCTGTAGCTCAAGTGGTAGA